CATTTGGCCATAGTTAGAATCGTGAGATGAAAAGCGTTTGTGCTTGACACTGATTTTTAACTGAAACTTTGTAGCTTATCGTTTGGAAGATTTCGGGGGTTGCAATTCTCTCTTGTCAAGGTCTCGACTCAAATTCCAATTCGTCCGTTTCCTCTGGAGTTTCTTCTCTATCTCTCTCTCTCACTTTAGTGTTATTATAATTTTTGATTTTTGGTTTAAGGTGCAGGCTGCAGCTTAACTTGACCTTTATGATTTGGAAGTTTTTGCTTCAGCACCTCCCACTTTTTAAATTATTCAAAAAAAAGAAAAAAGAAAAAGAAAAGGTGCACGATTCGATTCGGCCATGATTTGCCATCGATGATGATTTTGTTCTGTGTTATTTTCCTTCAAGACTAGAAAAACATATGTAGGACGGGGCTGAAAGATCAATTTAACTTCAAATGGAGGCAAGCATGCATGAGCTGGTGGTGGTCCTCATGTCATGTAGTTAATTGGGGATTGGAATTGAATGGACGGCCTCCGAAGAAGTTTAGAGAAACAATTCTCGTCTTTCACTCTATAGATTTTATTACTAGCTTTTTATACAGAGTTGACTGCAATATCTAAATACATGAATAGTAGCGAGTATTTCAGAGCAAAGAACTTTCCGTCCATGCTCGGATTGCATAAAATGAAACAGCATTATCTGCAGATTGCTCAATTCAACTGCTGCTGCTGCTGCATCTACGCTATTCCATGCTCATCTCCTTGAATCTTGGCCTTATGTATCTATTATCACATGCTCTGTCGTCTCATTTTCGCTTTCTTGATTGAGAAACTGAGCGAGGGAAGATGGGTAAAGGTCAAATTGGCAAATGGAAGCAAGTGTCGAAGTGGACGAGGGAAGAATGTTCGCACACCCGCTAGCATGTGAAGTCAGAATATTTTCAATTCCTAATTAATTCTTTTGGTTTCTTTTTTTTTTTTTTTTTTTGTTTAAAAAAAAAAAAATTTCTTTTGGTTTATTATATCATACACATCAATTCCATTCTTATCAATCATCCTTCCCTCCCCATGTGATACTCCAACATCCATCCTCCATATAAAATCTATCAGCGAATCATCTAATTTGTCAAATTCGGGTGTCGCGGCCCCCCTTTGGTTACCCCACTTCTTGACACCTTCTTCCTTCTTTTTTTTTTTTTTTTTTTTTTTTCCATATTATGTCGTTGTAGCATCAATTTTTCTGTTTTATGTATTTCAGGATTATTCTTGACACCTTCTTCCTTCTTCTGGAAAATGTGATATTCGTACATTCATTTTAGTATTCAACACTCCAATTCACTCGATAAATAATACAGTACGTCTCTAAGGAGTGCCAGAAACTAACTGAAGAGGTGCAAATGTCAATTCCCCTCGGAAATGGGCTATTTGCGAGTGGATACGAATGTTCGACCTGAAAATCAAAAGACTCGTCGAAGCCGTGAGGCCTCAGGCTCACACGATGACACTACTGTAGTTTGCCTTGGTCGGGAGTGTTTGAATTGACGGATCAGAAGACAGAACGGCGAACACGTTCGGTTACACATGTCTCAGCATGACCCCACGACCGGATTTCACAGCCAAGTTTCCCAATTTCAGATTGGATATAAGAAAGGAAAGCCTACGAGTACGGCCCCCACCTTTAGCAGCTACTTTGACTCGCCACTGTGCTTCGTCTGCTCCACTCGGATGCCTGCCTTCTGGAAAATTTTAATTTGTGATTCGTGATGGTCATTCCTGCTTCCAGAAGTTATTTGGTTTACTATACTATTTTGAGACCTTATAAGTTCGGGCATTCGAGAATGTGAGAAAAAGAAAAAAGAAAAAAGAAAAAAGAGCACTCGTGAGTTATTAAATTCTGAAGTTACAGAAAATTAATAGACATCCTTTGACAGAAGCCACACGCTACTTGCAGTGCTCCTCCAATCCAAACTCGATGAAATTAATGAGCGTGAGGATAAATGCTTATTATTTGCTTTTGGCTGTGGTGGTGAGCTGGGAATTAGACTATTTGGTGAGCACAGAAGGGGCAATGCGGCTTCTATTCTATCAAATGTACCTTACTTATAGGCTTCATTCATCGTGTTCATGCACTGAGGCAACCATCATTTTATGGAATACCAATGTACCATCTTTCCTTAGAAATTGATTCGTTGTATATCCTCTACCAAAATCTTCCATAGTCTTTTATTTTTCAAAGCTAATGTATAGTTCGATCGATCCTTTCAACTTTCTCGGCGTTTATTCCCTCCACCCTCCAACTCTCAAACTTATAGTACTATTATTATTATTTTGATAATGCTGATGACTAGAACATAACCTTCTCACTACAACAAGCAAAATTTTAGGTTCTACGTGCGCTTTGACACACGTTTCTTGACATGTTTGAGTGTTTGTATGGATTTTACACCCAAAAAAAATTCTTGTTTTGGTTGGCCAAGCCTTAGCTAGCTATTTAGTCATTCCGGGACTCAAAAAAAAAAAAAAAGCCCTTTCAAAACTCTACGCAAGATGGGAATCCTTAAACAGAGCCCCTACTACCACTTAGGGACGAGTATGGTTAGAGATATAAATGAATCTAATCGAATCGAACATTCTAGTGTTCAAACCTATCTGATTATGTTAATGAGTTTAAAATTTTGTTCAAATTTCGCTTGTTTAATTGACAAATCAAGTTTGAATGAGTTTTTTTTTTTTTTTTTTTATATATATAGTATTTGACTGTTATCGAATGTAAAACGTTGTTTAAATTTGGTTTGACTAATTGATGAATCAAACTTGAACAAGCCTTGAGGTCGATCTGAATATCGAATAATCTGATTCATTTTTCAGTCGGATGCGGTACTTTTGACATCACCACAAGAATTAGCAATAATAGGGACCATTTGCATATGTTGCAAATGGTCCTAAATGGGACATTGCCTCTGAAATGGTCTTCAACTTTAAGCAAAGCATTTAAGTTTTTTTTTTTTTTTTAAAAAAAGGGAACCATTTAAGTTTCCAGAGCAAGCAAAGCTGACACCAACCCTTCTTCACTCGGACACTCCAGTACTCCTTTTCTTTTTCAAGTCATGGAGACAAAACAAACACACTCATCGATACTTCTTCATTACAATAATGTGAACACACAGTCACACAGTGGCGCGGCCATGATTACCCCAAAAGAGAAGTTGAGTACCAACAGCAACAACTACCATTTTAACTAACCCCATTCAAAAAGGCTAAATTCTTGTCCTCTAAATTGAAATGTGCAGGACCAACGTTTAATTTAGGTCAACATGGGAAACGTGGCGGCAACTGTGATCATGTCTAGTAATGAAATTAACGTTGGTGGTCCATGCACCCCATCTCTCAGCAGCTTATATTTTCGGCTGATCAAGTAGGAATCGGATGTTTAACCAACCGGAAATAAACAACTACTACTCTTCCTCGCTTAATTCTGGCACCTCATCGGAACTTTATCATCATAATATATAGGTGGTGCAATCCGTGTTTCTTGTTTGGGTTCCTGTACGAAGACACGTATGTTTGGCTAATCTGTAAGAACAGCATAAATTATTATTTACGATACGGACTCATAAATAGGACAGATATCTTGTAATCTCCGAGGTGGAGATTCAAAAGACAAGTTATATGGCTACATTTACTATTTCTCAAGGTCCACTTGTAATCTAGATTTTGGTATGAAACACAAGTTGGCCATGACTCTTTTTATAGAGAGTCTGAATCTAAATAAGATTTGGATTTGAAAATTTAGACCCAGACTCAAGAAAAATATGATAGATCCAGGATACAGTTTGGATGATACCTGGTCCATTGACATGTTTAGTTACATGTTAGAGAGTGAATTTTAAGGAAGGGAAGGGTGAAAAAGCCTCCATTTGTCTAAAGGGCCTCCATTTAACTTGTTTACACAGAACCCATTTGCTTGTGGAAGGTGAAGAGCCCATGATCTTCTAAGACCCAGGCAACATGGTAATAAAACCAATTGTCGTGCCTCTTAATTGTCTCTTAGATCTTGAGTCTAGTAGTAATACTTACTTTCTACTCACATACTACTATTCGTCCACGTGTTTCGGTGTAATTTTCAAAGTTGCTCCGCGGGATCAAATATTACCTCAACGTTCATTTCTAGCAAAGAACTTCCGGAACCGAATGGTAACTATTTCTGTAACACCCAAGCCAAGGCACCGCCATAATACTCGAAGTTTTAACCGCTCAAAAGCATAGATACATGTTACTCATTTCTGCAAGGCCACCACCAGCAATGCTCACAGCATAGGCAACCAGTTGGTGCTGCAAAGCTTAAAAATGGTGGAGAGATACAGCAGATAAATTTGAACTTTTGCAGAAATTTATTTGGCATATTAAAAAACTTGCATACTAAAATTACAGAAATTTATTTGGCATATTAAAAACTTGCATACTAAAATTACCAGTACAGCAGCTAAGTTGGGTCTCGGAAATCAGTTTCTCCCACAAGAATGATACTATAAAACATCGCGCCTTCCAACTAACTGATTCCGACTTGAAACAGCATTGCATCCGGAGAGCTCCACTGCTGTCACTTTCTAGTATCTATACCGGGCTCGAGTAAAGGATCGTGTCGAGCGGTATTCCGTTAATGGGTCTTCTCTAGATCGGTACCTGTATCGTCGGCCAACAGGAAGGTAACAATCACGTTCTGGCGACAAATTTTGAATGTAAACAGGATCACGGTACAATTGACGTTCTCTGTACAAGATGTAAGGATCATCCATGGCAATGTCATCACGATGCCTTGCTTCCAGCTTTAATGGCCTCGGGTTAAGATGCTCCACTACCCCATCCCACCCATGATTCTCACGATGATCCAAAAGAGTGTCCTCCCTGTAAACATCCGGAGACTGCAGTGGTGATTGTCTGGAACGCTCCCGCCTGTAAGAATCACGAGAATCCAAGAGTGGTTGCCATAAGGCTCCCACCTGTAAGCATCCCGGACTCCAGCAGTCGTCGTCTGTAGGAATCACGATGCTCTGACAACAGGTTCTGCCTGTAAGCATCTCTTTCAGTACTCCTGTCATAGGCATATAATGGAGCAGCAGCTGGCGGACGTAAAGGAGCAAATCGGTGCACTGGGTCCAGCGGAGATGCAATTACTTCCCTTTGATGAATACGAGGGTATTGACGCTTCTCATCCAAGGCAGAGCGCCTCTCTTCATCTATGTCTAGAACTCTAAGCCTATCCTGACCTATCGATGCATAAGTCTTCTCCTTGAAACCCCTATCCAAACCTTGGACCTGGGGCGTTTGCTCACAGCAACAAAAAGCTTGCACAATTTCCTCACCTATCATGGCATGTATGATGCGATGGAGCTCGTCACATAATAGATTGCCAGTTCAAGGCGCAGGAGAACAAATCCAGTTGTACAAATGCCAGAAAAATCTCAAACTATTCAAAGTCAATTAAGAGCAACAAAATTGCAATTTATGTGAATCAGAAAAGATTTTATTCCTCTTTCTGTTTTCTACTAAGCCTTTGCTGATTCACGTAGCTGATTTGCAGACTAAGCATTTAAAGATGACCATTACTGGTTACTCAATGAAAATTTGAGTTTTTCCCTTGCCTTTCTCCATTACCCCCATCTTTCTCCCTCTTCCCTATCTTCTCCAGTTTTGTTTCTCATTTTATTAAGCATCATAATACCGGTATAACACTACAAGACATGGTAAATACCTTGACAGATTATACGGGTTCATGCTTCACATATAATGGCTGAAAGTTGAAACAAAACCTCAACTTACCTGCTCAGATTTCAACTGGCAGTCAAATTTGGTCCTTGTGAAATAATTTTCTTTAATCACCTTCTTAAACTTGTCCTCTGCCAATGGTATGCAATCCTCCATAACAATAAAGCGAACCTGGTACACTATCAGTTATGAATACAAGGTTGATCTGGGATTATGGCTTCTGGCTCTAAATTTTGGGTTTTCAGCATTATCAAGCAAATTTACCAACAGTAAAATTACATGTAAAACTGTCCAAATGTTCAGCAAATACACCCTGAAAATTGTTTAGAATGACAACTACTCTTTCCACTATCCATTTCAGCATTCAAACATTACAAACTTCGCTAAATCATCCTACCAGTGATATCTGCATTATCCAAAAACTGGCATCTTAGAATTCATAGCAGCTATTCTAACAACCAACAATCTGAAACACAACTAACAGAGCCAACTCTAGGATTAAAAGTGCTAAAGGCTCTTCATTTTAGCAATTCATAGCACGTAAAGACTAAAGAGGGGCGTCAGAAGGGCAACAGTTTTCAGAAGTATTCAGTTAAATGCAAAACATCAAAGTCTGGATTTCAAATGTTCATTCTCCAAGGCAAAAGCCAGGCAACTTGATGTCGGGACCAAAAAGAGAACTGCGACCAAGAATTGGTTTAGATTCAGTGCTATTCAGGAACGTTGAAAATAACAACATCGATCAAGACAAAAGGGTCAAGTGGATAAAGAGATTTGGGATTTATGACAAGAAATGTTGGTACAAAAGCATGTGCAGGAGCATCTCTAAAAGTTTTTTGATATAAAAGCCAAATCAGAGAGAATAACAACACAATTACCAGCTTGAGATAGGTCACTCATCAGCCGAATTTCACAGCATCAGCCAATCAATCATTTACAAAGGAAACAAATGAAACACTTTACAAAAAAATTGACATGAAACAGTATTCTTGCCATATAAAACACTCTATCATTGTTAAATTGATATAAAAGAGCTATGATTTCCATTCATCGGTTTACATCTACATTCGCACAAAACAACTCTCCTGGCATTCATCCCCCCACTAAAGGTGCAAATAGTCAAGCACGAATACTGCTATCCTCAAGCTAGACATCTCAATGAACCTATCCAAAAACTCACCAATTTTAGCACACACAGGTTCAAACTCGACTCTAGTCCTACTCCTTGATTAGCACATACAGGTTTGAATTTGAACTCTTTGTTTTAAACCCGAAACCAATGCAAAATCAGTGCATATGCCAATCAGTTGGCCAAAAGAAAGGTAAGAGCAAAAATATGAGCCCCATCTACATTTTTTAAAGTTGAGTACACAATTGGTGGAAAACAGAAGCATCAGTTAATCAACTAAATAAAGAATTCAAATTGGTTAAAGAAGAACTGAACACAATATGTTAAAATGAAATGATATGGCTTATAAATCTTAACACCCCGTAAAATATCAACCATGTGCAGAAACTTCTAGACAAGCTAAACTTCCAATGTGTTTGAAAGGCTTAGTCAAGCTAGTGATGGACAGTGCCTGATGGTATCTCAGAGACTTCTGGATCTTGTGGGAGAAAAAGTGAAAAAGCAATTTAGATGGAAATACGGGGAGAATGGTTGAACAAAGAACAGCTGTACGCTGGAAAGGCAGTAAGTTTAAGTGCAAGGGTCAACAATCACGAATTATTCAGGGACAGTGCCTATACTTGCCATATGTTTGACAAGGCTCATTCAAGCTAGTGATTAACAGTGCCACATGCTTTAACAGGGACTTATGGATCTTTTCCGAACAAAAGTAAAAAAGCGACAGGGATTTTTAAGTGCGATGTCAACATTGTGGTCAGTGATAAAGGGAGGAAACAAGAAAAATTATGGATTTTTCGGCAAATATACACCTTCTCCTGCTAAAGAGCATTAAATTCATCCAAGTCATCCAATTGTCACTGACCAACAAACTCATCACAGTATATACACGTAAACAGCATGGAAAAAAGAGCAAAGTCAAGATTATTCAGCTATGCCTCACATCAGAGTTCAAAAGTATAACCAAACCTGAGATGGAAACTGGGACTTGAATGCCTTTGGTTCAATGTTATAGCCCCCAGGTCCTGCAGCTTTATAGATCCCATACATCAATTTTAGATCAACATCATACAAAAAAAGCCTCATCCCTTTATATACTTTTTCTACTATATCTCGTTTATTAGCAGGTAGACCAAGAACCTTATATCGATAACAGTCCCTTTTTGTCTTAGAGCTGCACATGAATATCATTCCCATGCTCGCAGCCTTCTTCAAAGTCTTTTTCTTGCCTGATGGTTTGAGCTTATCCTTGGATTTAGAGGCCACTTTCTCGGCATTCCCTTCTTTAACCTTCCTTCTATTCCTTTTCCTCGATTTCTTACCCTTCTTATTTGCACTTCCTTCACCTTTCTCTTCAATCTCTGCTCTTGCATTCTTTCCGTCTTCTCTCACAAATGGAACATTGTGTTCACCTCCTTCTAACTTAGCTTCACATTTAGAAGCCAATTTACCCAATTCCTCATTTACCACCTTGTTCCTTCCATTCTTGTTCCCGGCCTTCTTCATCTTTGGGGCCAAGCTACAGCACTCTTTTTCTTCATTCTCACTTTCTTCACCAGTTGTACTCTTGTTGTTATCTTTAACTTCACATATGTCATTTTCTTTATTTTCTATCTCACTTCCTTCCTCCATCAAAGCATCATCATCATTATCATCATAATCATAATCAACATCGTCATCCTCCTCATCCTCATCATCATAAAGCCCTTCACCCTTTCCCTCTTCTTCATTCACATTTCTTCATCTTTGCTCTCATTTTCTAGTTCATCCAACGTATTCTCCACCTTATGCTCACTTTGAGGAACAATCTCAGTTGGCATTACATCCATCCCCACTGGATGATTGGACAATTCAGTTCCCACTAAAGGGGTTTCAGCAGCAACATTATCTTCAGCACTCAAATTCGAGGTCGAAACATCGACCTCACTTTCTTGGTGCACCATCTTCAACCTGTATGTATGACTCAAAACAAAATATATTTATCACTAAGCCTGCAGTCTATCAAAACTAGAATATCCTCAAAAACCCAAAACAATCATCAAAATAGCATGCATCTAGAATTCAACCTGAAATCCAACTAATTTAGTTGCTCTTTCTTTTTGGCCGAAGGGATGCTCGGATTTAATTTTCCATAAAATTCAATATAGTTACCATAATTTTTCTAAATATCAAGCTTTTCTGCATTATCTGGTAAAATCAACAGCGAGTTACATTTAGCTGCTAATCTGATCAGCCTAATCTCCACACCAGACATTGAAATAAAAAATTACTAAACAACCACTAGTCACCAGCACTAGAAACAGCCGAATCTCTCTCCTTTGTTAGATTCTTTGAAGCTTTTGCTAATTTAAAATCAGAAAGTTCTTCTGCGAAACGAAAATTGGATAACTTGGAGCCAGAAGGAAGATGATGAACTAACCTGGTGGAATTATTATTATCTTCTGACGGAAGAATGCTTGATCTCCAACCTCTGAAACAGTATGCTGATCTGGGCATGTAAGTATCGGATTAGAGCATTAGATTTGTCCCTTACGTGTATTTTACTTTTTCCTTTTATACCCAATGAGATGAGAGAAGGGAAAAGGAAATAAAGCAGATAAAAGGAAAACGGATTGGTCCACGGCTCAGTCGGTCGGAAGAATAGCACATCAGGCCCACAGGTGCACCGCTTTTATTTATTTACAGTTGGGATTTTATTATTCTCGTTATTAATTTAGGCCTTGTTTTATTCCTTTTTCAGGTACAATAAATTTTTCCTTTTTTTTTTTTTTGTAGGGGACACAGCTATTATATATATATATATATATATATATATATAGAACAAAAGATCTAAAACAATAATATCTCTTGTTTTTAATGTAAAAGGTGAGTGGGAATTCTCCAATTTAAAAACCCTTGATGAGAAGAATAAATAAATTAATAGGGGAAAAAATGGTTTGCTGTAGATTTTGCAAAAGTTGACTATGGAAAAATTGGTTTGAACTAAAGCTATATGGGCAAGTTCTAGATTTTCCATCAACTGAAAAATCCATAATCTAGAATTCTAGATACAAAAGATCATAACAAAACTTAGTTTATTCAAAATCATAATCTAAAAGATAATGCAATCAAACAAGAACATACGTTGATGATTATTTTTAAGGGAAAAAAAAAATTGTGCTTCCCAGGAATGGATATTATCATCATCGAAAATAAACATGTAACAGAATTAAAAATTTGGGACGATATTATTACTTTTGTTTTTGTTTAATTTTGATTATTTTAGCTATGTCATATATTTGTTCTGTTTCCTAGTTAAGGTAGAGCAAAATCCATTCTTGTGTTACGCTCCAAACATTTTCTTTTCTTCGTTTTTGAGAATTTACATTCAAGTGGCTTCGTGCCTGCTCCTGCATCTGCATGGACAGTACTGTATGGCATTGTACTATTCCCCCTTTGGCTCCTTAACTCTCTCAACTTCAGAATACCTATGAATACCAACGGTTAACGCTACAGAAAGTTTAAAAAATAAAATAAAACAATTAGGTCTGCGCTTAAATAAGCTCTTATATTATTGTTTCATCACGGAAAACCCCCTTCCCAGTTTTATAGTAACAGTTTACACAGAAATCCTACGAGAGTGTAGCAGATGGATGGTGAAGTCTCTGAAATGTTAAGGAGCACCTGAGTAGAACTCAAAATGCTCGTGTTGATTGACAGCAGCTTCCTGTTTGGGCGTCAGGGGTGGGAAAAGACAGAAGGAGCTAGCTGCATGAAACTGTTCAGTGAGGATCTTCGATCTTACATTGGTTCTCATAGTACATATACTTCACTCTCCATGAGTCTGTACGGCACGATATGCTGCTGAGCAAGTATAGAGAGTATATGCTGCGTGGTATACTTCACTCGATGTCTCTGTATAATGCCATCATCATGGCTTTCCTTGGTGCTATGTGAACTCAATGACAAAGCACAGCACAAAGCCTCTGAAGTTCTGCTGTATTGTTTGGATTTTGCAATGTGTAAAAACCACTTTTATGGTTTGACAAGCATGTCATATTCACCTGGTTTTGCAGTTGGCTCGACTGCAGTAGTATTCAACAGAGAAAAGGATCAATGAAAATGATAAAATCAAGAAACAGCAGCTGATAAAAAAGGATTAGGATTAATTGATTGAAATTGGCCCCTTGTAAACTTCACTCCCCGAACCTACATATATATACATTTTATCCCTTGTAGTTAAACTTCTTAACAGGATAAGATGAAATTATATTTTACATGACCAAAATATTCCTAACTAATTCTTGAGCACGTATAACAATTGTAACATAATAAATGACTATTTTTTCAATATTTAAACACAATCAAGCCATGCATTCAACTTTTTAGTAATGAAAAAAAATTAGAAAATCAGTAAAAAGGAAGTCCAAGCAACTTCATGCATTTATTGCCATGCCAATTGCAGTACTTACTTTAGGTGAAATAGAATAAATGGGTATATTGGAATGAAGATTATTTGACTATTAACCCAAAAAGATTCTGAGCAGTGTATGTGTAAAAATCCAAACTAGGAGGCTTTCACACAAAGTATTATGCAATGATGCCTGAAGATAAGACAATATCATAACATAATACCGATGGCTTGGTTACAAGATTAGATATCCAGAGCTGGGCTTAAATTAACACAGGCACTTGACGCTGATGCATGGTGGATGAGATGAACCGATAAAGAAAGTCGGATCATGAAGAAAGTTCAAACTGACAAAATGGAGAAATATGTATTACCGAGCAACGGACTGGTCCGCAAGTCCAAAGAGGGCTCGGGATGCAGCTCAAATAGTGACACCACTGACAGTGATCATTCCCATCAACGCCTCCGAGGAGCAGGCCCAGGCCGATGGCAAATCTAGCACGGGAACATTGAAAAAGTACACAAGTTTAGCCTTACCACGCAAGAGCTAGCAAGGAACATGCGAAAGCTGCACGAGTTCAGAAATTGTCAACTCCATTTATGGAATCCTAGTAACAGCAAAAACTCAATAATCTCCATGATGGCAGAGTTTTTTTGAATGTCGAGTCAACACTTTCCACCAACATATTTAGTGAAACATTTCTGAAGGCTCTTGGCCTCTTTGTTAATATATAAGATGTCAAATTCTATATATGCAGTAAATGACTTTGCTCTAAGGCCTGTTAATCAGCATTGTTAATTAAAGAATGAGTTTCCAACTGATGCCACGATACATTTTTGTCATTATATAGGACAAAGGAGCAATCTAAAGCCATGCGATTTCTGGACATGAATTAAAGGAATGGCGAGACTTACTCTGCAATGAGTAGTAGCAGAGCGAGGATCAAGAATATGTACTGATATGCTTTGAACTTGGACGTGTTTTTGCTATGGTAACCTGGAGGAGCATTTCTTTGGTTTACCCATCCAAACTGAGGACGGATTAGGAGAATAAATCCAAGTAAAAATCCCGTCACAAATCCTCCAAGATGTGCAAAGTTGTCCACATGAGGGAGGATTCCAACTGCTAGATTGATAATGATGATGAGGACGAGAGTCGACAGGGCTGCACACTAAGAAAAAACAAAATTGTGAGCTATCGTCCCTTCTTGAAATGAAAAATGTACGACTTTCACTGGGAAAAAAAGGAAAACACGCCGAGTTGAATGTAGCAGAGATACCTTGTTCTCGTATATCGTCCAATTTATGAGGAGTTCAGAAAGCATGGCGCCAAGTAAACCAAACAATGCCCCGGAGGCACCAACTGAGATGGTTGTCCTCACAAACAAAGAAGACAATAAACTTCCACCAATTCCAGATATTACATACGCCAGCCCAATGCGCGCTGCAGAAGATTAACGCACGCAGGGTGACAAAGCAAGAATGACATAGCGCATGTAGCCTTGCACAAGTATTCAAACAAAATTTCCGAATTCTATTTAGTACTTAATTCTTTTGGAATCATACAACATATTTTAAACCAATCCATCACAACAGATGAGTGCACATAAGCTCTGTAAACAGAAAAAATCAACTTGAGAAAATCAGTAAATACAATCTCCAAGAATGACATCTATGAGAAAAGAAGTTGCAAAGGATGGGCATACCAAAGCCAAACTCCTGCTCTAGCCGAACGCCAACAAAGATGAGACTCAACATATTGGCAAGAACATGGAACACCCCGGCATGTAGCCACGTGCAAGAGGCCAACCGCCACACCTGGTGTCCATCAACCACGCTCTTGACATCTAGAGCCCCCAGTTTTAGCAGTCTGATCAGCAAACAAGAAAACGGCACAGTTTCACGGTTCTCCACAAAGAAAAGGAACTTCTCTAGATCATTGTTTAACTGCATCATAATAATAATAATAATAATAACTAGATGCTTCCCTGATGGTAGCGTTGGTAATTGGGTATGTACCTCTAATGTTCGACATTTAACTGAGTACCCTCTAACGTCAAACAGTTGGGAAATTGAGAAAGAATTCATTCACAAAATGTTTCCTTCATGCTCCATGAAACTCGAAAATACCACCTTGATTTTACAATTGTCCAAACAAGTAAAGTATTTTAATCATAATGGTATTGTACTACAGTTATACTACATGTGATGAACCACGGAAACAGGCTAATAAGCACCGCTATCTGTTATTCATGACGGGCTAATCAACAAAAGCAAAAATGCAAGGAAAAGCTCATGCATGAAATAAAAAGGAGCAAGAAAGAAGTCTCTCTCACGTAGCAGCGGAGGGACCGAGCAAGGGGTTCTCTTTGGTGCTCTGGAAAGCAAACCGGTCCAACAGGGACCTCCCTATGCAATTCTCAGAGTTGCGGGACAATCATTGAGGTACATTGCGTAGACAAAGATGGCAACGTTGACAAGAACAATGGTAGGGACAAACCAAGGGATCCATTTCTTGAAAAGCCGAAGACTGCGAGGCCGTTGAGGAGGACGATGAGGTGGTGGATGGAAGTTCTGCTGGTAATTAGGAGGACGTGGAATAACAACCGCCTGATTTAAGTCAGAGCGAGGCTGGATCTTGATCTCCACTTTGTCCGACTCCGATGACGAGCTGGTTTTAGCCCTCCCCATCGCAGCCGGCCGGCCTTGTCAAAGCTAGGAGATCAGTTGATTGGTTGGCGGCTGCAAATTTTTTATTAATGAAAGGCAGTCATGTCATGGTTTTTTTTTTATTTCCTTCTTTTTTCTTTAATTTTTATCTGGCGCTGAAGTATTTGCATCGTATGATTACCATTGGAGCTCGGAGAAAACGGTTTGAAGGACTATGGATGATTTGAATGGACAAGGCACCCTGTCGCCTATTATGGGTTCATTTCAGCTATATTTAGTGTGCGTGAGAGAGAAACATGAAATCAGGCCAAGCCTTTGGTTTGTACTAACATTTTTCTTAATTTACCAATTTCCCCTTCATTTCAGCTACATGTTACATAGTGTCTTACCAGTGACATGTTAAAATATTTTTCCACCAAGGTGTGGACCATGGATTACAGAATTGGTCATTATGCAGAGCAGAAGGGAGAGGAAGAGTTTTGTCTTCCGTCTTCCGATAATAAGTAAATGAAGAGGCTC